AAGAGATCCCACGAAAAATCCCCTTCGGCATTGATAATATTTTCTTACATCCATTGTCCAATTCCCTTTCTTTCGGTAATTCGATTGGATTCAGGTCAAGTAAGTGTGGTAGCCAATCTGTGTAGATCGTGAAATCTATATTTCTTCCTTACGTGGGTTGGAAATATTAAAAACCGCGAAAATCAAAGAAAACCAAATCTCGAGTTTCACAGATTTTTAGAAGAGTTATTAATTCTGTAAATCGTATCTTTATCTTTTTCTCACGAAAGAAGGTTTGTGTTACCCGACAATTTTATTCCATTTGGGAATAAAACGATTTTCTTTTCATCTCATGTGTTTTGTTTTTTTAAAAATTTCCCTTTGAATAAATAAAATTGAATAAATATTTTTTTTAATATTGTTCCAGTAAACGGGGAAGATATTTTGTTTTTTTTTTTCTGTTCCGCTTTTTTCCCGAGGTATTTTGCATGAACAACGAAGCTTAGTCAGAGATTGAATATTACGAACAAGTTTTTCAATGATATATTTTCGATCAGAGGTAACAAAAGATTTTAATGCCCCGAGTAATTTTCTTTTTCTCCATTTTAATTCCATTTTTAGATGCGATAATTAAATATACGAAATTTAAGGGAATTTAATCAATTTGAATCGAGTCTAATTTGATTCTATTATATTTAGTTTAATTAAATCTGATTAAATGTAACGCAATATTACGTTATATATATATATCGTATCCAGATCAATTACAAAAATTAAAAAATCGTTAGAACATTTTGGATAAACGTTTTGAAATATTTATTCAATTTCTGTAAAACACGAAAGATTGTCTCTTAGAATTTTTTTTTATCAAAATAAAAAACATAGATTAAAAAATTGTGCAAAGAATTTGATTATTTTGCGTTTAAAGGATAAACAAATTGTAATGCTTAAAATGAAGCAATGACAATTTATTTTGCTTTATCTGCTATACTATTCCATGTTAAACGATCACTAATGTTCGTAAACAGGAAAAAGAAAGAAAAAAAAAAAAAACTCTTCGAAATTATTCTATGCTCGCAAATAACCATAAACTTAACTTATCATAAATCTAATTCTCTTAACAAAACTAATACCCATAGCCAATGTTATAAATGCAACTTAAACTACACTTAATCTCCTCTTAATAGTTATAAAGTTAACCTAAAACAAAAAATAAATATTCACGAATCGAATAAAGCACGAGATATGAAAAAAAAAAAATTCTGGAAAAAGAAATCAAAATTCTCTCTTACTTCGTAAACCAGTGGATATAAACGTAAACGTAATCTAACCTAAAGTTAAATCTGTATAACTTAACCTATATCTCTTTATAACGACATTAGAAACCTAACATAACCTAAATCTAATACTCATATACAATAACGTAAGCGTAATCTAACCTAAAAATTTACGTATTTCTAAATCTTATTAAATAAAAATTTGAAATTCCGCCATTTTCTGCATCCCAATAAATAAATTTTCCCCTTAATTTCCAATTTTACTTCGTAATACGATGTCTTTACTTTGCTCTCGATGAAATAATTTCCTTTTGGGAAAATAGCGACGAGACGCGTCAAAATTTTTCGAAAAATCGAAAGAAATATGGGTTCGTTATTATCAGAGCTTCGATGGAATTTATTCGTTTTGGCTTTCCTAACGATCGTTTGTTCGCTTATCTGAACGGCTGTGCACAGGAGGAACAACAATTGGCCGTTTTTAATATCCTTCGTGCCGTGGCTCGAAACAACCGAATTTTCACCAGAAATTGGAACATTTTGGAACAGAGGTGGAACAAAAAAAAATTGACCACGTTTTGAAGCCCATACATTTCTCTTTTTTTAAATAATACACGATGTAGAGAATGTAAAAATTTGAGAAAAGTTCGTTATTTTGTTATTTTCGAATTTAAAATTTCGCCATTTTAGAAAAAACAAAATTTTGAAATTTTTATCTTTTAGTTATTTCTACAGGTCATAAAGGTGAATTATTATTCAATGCAAGTTAATTTTCTATCCAAGTTTCTTCGATGGAATTTGTTAATTGAAAAATTGAATCGTGCTAATCGATAAATGGAATACATTAGTAATCCATAAAAGGCAGAAATTAATGAATCAAATAAATCGATTTCATTTGAATTTTAAATTCCTGAATCGAATTAATTTCTTCATGACTAGAGATTAAAATATTTTCTTGTTTTATTAGATCAAAAAAAGAAAAGAAAAATACGGATATGTAATTTCTTATCTCGAGTGGTGATCGTTAATTTTTACGACCGATGGAACGGAAACGGTGGATGGGAAAAAACACGGGAAGAATAATTTTTCAAGTATATTTTATTTCTAAAAACAAGCAGGACTCGCGTAGAATATGTTTTATTTATCAGAAACGAATCTTCAATCTTCCTCGTTTTCAAAGATGAAGTTACTTACTAGGTCTCGGAGTCTCGAGGAGATAGCGATTTCTTACGATACTTCTACATGAAAGAAGTTCTTTTACTGAAAATATCTTTCACGACCATCGTTTCAGTGCCAGTGGCAAAGTGAATAAGATACTTACCCAACTCCAACGTCGCCAATATTTTCAAATATATTCAAAAGTCATCTCGTCGAAACGACAACTTTGTTAAATAATCTTGAACGAAATTAAATTTCTTTTTTGCAAATTAACAACAGTCACTTTATAAACATTTTTACGAATATATTTTAATTAAATTTTTTGTCGAATCCTCTCCTTTTTTGATTTCTTGAATCTTTCATTCAATTTTTTTAAATTTTCCTAAATTCTCCCATTCAGAAAACTAATCTAAATTACGTCCAAATTTTCTAATTCTCTATATATAATAATTTATCAAGGAATATCGTCGCACATAATAGATATATTTCTTTCGCCAAAACTTCTTCACGTTATTTCTTTAACATTCTATATTTTTTTATCTTATTTCTTTTTTTTATATCCTATTCACGTCTAACGTATTTCCTTCGACAAATTGAAAAATGGTTACCGTCGTTAGCTTTCTCATTCGTCAGAAACGCAATACTTCGATAAACACGATGCTCGAGCGATGTCCCTCGTAAGCATTTCAAGGCATCTTCGTTATCGCGCTTTTGAAACGAAATCTACCGAGATCTCAATAAACCTTGCTCCACGGTTAAATTAACATTAATAGTCGAGATTAATTCAAGCCCGAGTACCGATCAAAGTATTTATCGATAGAAATCGTAAGCTATTCTTCGAAGAAGAAGAAGAAGAAAAATAAGAGAGAAGGAGGAGCGTTGGAAGAAGAGGAATTCTAGCGCGACTCTTGAACGTGATTAAGAGGCAAGGGATCGTTGGAATAGTTCTGAAATAGCTTTGAAATAATTTCGACTCGACTCGGAATATTTTAATTTTTTTAACCGCTTGTTTTAATAATTAAACGTAGTACGATTTGATCGTCGAGATTTTTAAAATTATTTTTATTTCTTTTTTTATTGCCTTTGCAATAATATAAAATTTGAAAATAATGAAAATGTGTGTGAGAAATTACGATTAATTTTATTCTGTGGTTACTGTCAAATTAGATTTGAGAGTAGAGAGAGAGAGAGAGAGAGAAAGAAGAAAGTAAAGGAGAAAAAGAAGAATTTTAATAGATTGGAAAACGACGAGATATGAGATAAGTGAATATCTCGTATGATGCAATTTCGAATGTATAAGGCAAGAATGTTTTGATACATATCTTACCTTTGAGTGGATGAAAATAGCCTGTGGGCAAATGTTAGCAATGTAAACGGGATATAGCAAAGATCCAAGACGTAAGGCATTTTTGTTTTCATAGCCTAAGGTTCTTCCCTGCCTCTAATGTTACGCGTTACTTAATAAAAACAAAATGAAAATTGTAATTAAAGAAAATTAAATAGGATACGTCCAAAAAAAAAAAATAATAATCATACAGATATAATTATAATTTAAGCTTGAACTAAAAAAGTTTTAATTAAATTATGATTCAAATTACAATTTTTAAACGCCACATACTCATTTCTTGTTCATTTTAATTTCAAATGGATAAGTTCGTTAAAATTCTTATTCTAAGAGATAATCAAAAAAAATTCAGTTCGATCCATTTTCTGAAAATCTTCGTTTACCTCTAACTTAACAAAAACAAACTGAAAATTGAAAACTGAAATTAAAAAAATTACACCTAGATATTATAAATTTTAAACTTAACCTGAAAAATTTCAATTAAATTATAACTCTAATGTTACAATTTTTAAACGCTCAATTGTTTCGTATTCAATTTTGATTTCAGATAAATAAGATTCGTGAAAATTTTGTATCCTAATAGCCTTAAAGAAAAAGAAAATTCGAGAGAATCGAATTCGTTCCATTTTCTTCGGAAATTTTCGTTTCAACGCGTTTGCCTAAAATCAATGTTATCGGAGATATCCTCGAGTTGCCGGATATGTATTATCTACGAGAATGGATAATTACACGGTAGATATGCAAATTTCCAAGATTCACCTCTGCCTGGTGCAAACGCTTTTGCTTTGCGGATTAATTTCGGGTTTAACCCTTTGGCGAGGATCACGAATGACGAGTCTTCTCGCAAGATTCCTGAATTCATTGACCATTTCTGCATCTCTCTCTCTCTCTCTCTCTCTCTCTCTCTCTCTCTCTCTCTCTCTCTCTCTCTCTCTCTCTAATTCGCGTGTGTAATTTTTGAAAGATTTGCCATTGCAAAAAATTTTCCAAAAAAAGACGAAAAAATACAGGATTTACGAGCAGAAGATTTTCAATCGAATGGAAGAATATTCGTTGCAATTTAACTTATAAAACTTGTCCAATATCAATCAAATTCAATATCTAAGAAATTTGCAGAGAATTAAATGTGTATCCCTCCCCCCTTTCCCTCTCCTCCTCTGATTAATTGCACGATTCTTCTATTTCAAAATATTCAACTCTTTTGCCTCATTTGTAATTGCGCATGGGAATTTGTTCTGTTTCAGGGGTACGAGGGATCCCTGTTGAAAGTCACAAGCAAAAATGGGAAAACAGCGTCGGTGAGTCGTTATTTTTTCAAATTATCCCTATTGTATCTTTCTTCGCGTGACGATATTTAAAAAAATATATATAAAATATATATATATATAAAAAAGAGGAGTGAGAATAAGAGAAATTTTGTTTTTGCGTGTACTGTGGAAAGTATAAAGCGTAGGAAAAATAGATAGTGGAAGAATAAAACGTGTAGAAATAAAGAAAAATAAGATAGGATGGTATCTGTTGCGCGTGTAAAATAGCGAAGCGAAAAGAAAAGGAATAAAATATATATATATATATATGAAAAGATTAAAGGGGAAAAAAAATTCTTTTACGAACGATCTGCCTTGAATTTTTGCCTAGAAAAATAATATAAAAAAAAAAAATAAAGGGAATAGAACGGCACATCTCTCTCCTCGTAGCACGCGTGTAAAATGAAAAAGAAAAGAGAAGGATGAAAAAAAAATTTTTTCGTAAAGAAGTTAAGAGACGAGGTAATCGTTTGCGAAATGTATTTATATCTCTCTCCGAGATCGAATTAAACAATAAAAATAAATACGATAGATTGATGCAAATCTATCGATCGATCAAATTTTGTTGAATATTTTGTTTGCTCAAATAGAGAGATAGAAAGGAAAAAAAATAGAAAGAAATTTGCCAACGATTAGTCCGTTCTTCCCGTCAGCGAGTGTATTTTTCGAACGAAAAGAAAGGAAAAGGAGACAAATGGGAAGGGAGGGGGGAATTGTATATTCCTGAGCGAATACATCGATTCCCTCTTACGATTCGAGAGATTTTTACACGAGTCGACAAAGTGTCGAGATTTTCTTGCGATTATTCGTCGCGGTAAGGAAGAAACTCGTCGTGAACCGGAAGTTTCAATCGAATTCCGCGATGTATAGAGAGCGGTTCGTACCGCTTTCGAGAACAATTCTCTCTTTTCCTTTGTTCGCGTTTCGTCGATTCAAAATCATCGTAGACGATATTTTTTTTTTTTTTTCATCTTTTGAAAACTAAAATTATTGCCTTTATACAAATTGTTACATGTAAATTATTCAATTTTTGTTTTTAATCGTCGTCCATTTTACATCTGCAACGAAACAATCGAACGCAGGATTGAACGTGATCAGTTGAAAAAGGATCGATCAATTTAAACGATCTTTTCATTCGAATAATAATTTATCCTGCCTAGTGTAAATTTTTTATCTACGTATCCTTTGCAAAGATGCTTTCTCCTCCTCGAATCTTGGAATTCGCAACGTGCCAATATTCTCGCGATCTTCGATATAATTCTTCGATAAGATTAAACGCGTGACGAAGAAATGTCACGATAATTTTATTTAAACTGAAATAAAGATCGGAACTATAATATCTTTTGGTTAGAGAAGATAGAGTTTTCGTTACTGGCAAAAACTGGTCGGCTCGGAATTATTGTCCACCTGGCCTTCTAAACGCGCTTCTTTTATGCGCTCATTTATGCGATAACGCGGGGACAGAGACGACAAAGAACCGTGTTAAATGCAGTTTCACGACTCTTTGTGTGTAATATCAACCAGTCACATCGCGCGCGTATTATTAACACCGACCATTTTACCACCTATAATTATTTATTGTTACTTTACGCTTTGTTGCCTATCCTTGTTCGCCACTTAAGAAAACTTGCTTACTGTTTTACAAATGGAGAAAGAAAGAGAGAGAGATTAGGTTAGGTTATACGCGTAATATCGAAAGTAAGAAGATTATGATTTTTAAAAAGAAATAAAACTCGATTGCTCGATCGATGAAAAGATGAAAATAATAAAATTCGATTGTTTTACTTTTCGATCGACAGGATTTTAAGGATAATATTTTCGAATTATGCGATTCGCTATTGAAAGAAATTTATGATAATTGATCTTCAATGGTAATATGATAAATAACAACGGATTATTATTTTTCAAATGAAAAAACTATTGAGTAAAACATCTCGGTTAACTTTCTATCCAAATGGATCAATTTGTTCAGGTTTATTTTAAATTTTGCTCGAACGGAATTTTCTTAGAACGCGAGCGGGAAGAAAAGGCGAGCAAAATTAACGGAACAGAGGCCACCCCCTTTACCTAACGACGGAAAGGAAGAAAATGCAGAGAACGTTACGTGAGTCACGTAACGAGGGAAAACGTAATCGATTCGTGTGCAAAAAAATACATCAATTTTATAGCGGGTATGGAAGGCATCGTGGCCAGGTATACACCGAGATATACACAACGTTCAAACCGTGATAACATTAATTTATGCACTACCAGTGGCCAACACACGCGTAACACGCGACACAACGTTGCCACTTGTTCACGATGGGAAATCAAACTTTCAAACCCTGATTCGTAAATGTCCATAAGTTTAATTTTTAATCGTACATTTCGAGAAATATTTTTCAGAAATGATAATGGATCTCGCGTCGTTGAAACGCTATTTTCCTCGAAAGAAGATTTTGAAAGAAAAATTTTTTTTCAAGATATTTTGATTTTTTTTTTTTTTTTTTCTTTAAATTCTTGGATTCTATAGACGATATAAAAGTTGAATGGAGTTTAATCGATGGATAAGAATTGAATTATCGTGTAGAAACAATTAAAATGATTTTTCTATTTGTTATTTCTTATGGATCGATATATTCGAGAACTTTTGAAATAAGAAAGGAAAGAATTGAGATTTTACGAAGCGAGAAAAGGATAAAGTCTCGCATCGAAGAATTTGATTCGGAGGTTTCGATTCGACCTCGTTTCGAAGGGGTTGTATATGTGAAAATACGCGTGATTGGAAATTCGAGACACGCGAAAAGAAATCGCGTGAGAACGGATAAAATGTCCGGCTCGAATCGGACGGAATTTATCAACGCTGAAAATATTGAATTCGTTAAAAAAAAAAAAAAAAACGAAAAATTCCATTGATCTTATAAAATCAAAAAATGTGCAAAATGTTTCGATAGAAAATTTTCTTAAATCACCATTTGCCATTTAATCCCCTGTATTCTCTTTTTATTCTTATCTTAAACTTCGAAAAGCGAGAATAGAAATTTTTCTTTTAAATTACCACCATCTATCGAACTCCATCTCTCTCTATAATTTCATATCTTCGTGTATAAGAGTTCTAAGAGAAAATAGAAAATTTTCTAAAATTACTTAACTTTCTATAATTTCATGTTCCTATCTAAAGAGTTCTAAGAATATTTTTAAAAAAGGGAAAAGCTAAAAAGGAAAAGCTAAATTCAGAAGAATCGTCTAAAATTATCTCGTATATTTGTTGTACCTGTATTGTTAAGCAATATCTTTAGAAATTCGCGTTTCTCGCGTTTTGTCTCTTTACATATCGTCGGGAAAGAAGTTTCTTCAACAAATATTGAAACACGCGATGCATGAATCGATTCGAATAATGGGTTTAAGCCAATAACTTGCACAATTATGATATAACGTATATACACTATCACCGTAATGTGATTTAAACCCATTACTAGGCATAAAGCGACCTACGGACTTTGAAACATGCGATGCTTGCATCGATTTAAGCGATAAGTTTTATAAATCAATAACGATAATTCCAGAGCTCGAACAAAAGGTTTATAAAATCGATAGCTAGTTCCAGAACTTTTTAAAATTGTAAGCTTAAGCGATGGATTTAAGTCAATAATTAGTCACGGTTTCAAAAATTGCGCGACGACTAGTGGATAGCTCCACTAGTTATTAGTAAGCTATTAACTTAAACCCATCGCTACTGACTTTGCGATGCATCGTAAGATGATCGAATCGAGCGATGGGTTTGAGTCATTTCCAGAATCGTGTGAGCGATGAATTTAAGTAAATAATCGATAGTTCTGGAAATCGTGCGATAGTTAGTGAATAATTCCAAGGTTATACGAGCTATTATCTTAAACCCATCGCTAGACTCCAAAGCAATCTACAATTTCAATTCTGAAACACGCGACAATATCGACTCGAGAAATGGGTTTAAGTCAATAGTTCCAGAGTTGTGTGAGCGATGGATTTAAGTAAATATATAAATAATCGATAGTTCTAAAAATTGTGCGATAATTTCAAACGTGAGTCATTAACTTAAACCCATCGCTAGACTCCAAAGCAATCTACAATTTCAATTCTGAAACATGCGACAATATCGACTCGAGAAATGGGTTTAAGTCAATAGTTCCAGAGTCGTGTGAGCGATGGATTTAAGTAAATATATAATATATAAGTAAATATATAATAAATAATCGATAGTTCTAAAAATCGTGCGATAACTCCAGAAGTGAGTCATTAACTTAAACCCATCGCTAGATTAGATTTAAAGCAGACTCTGAAACGTACGATGTACATCGTGCGATGATCGATGGGTTTAAGCGAATAGTTCCAAAGTTGTGCGTTGGTTTAAACCCATCGCTCGATGCATCGAAACAACGTTTCAGCATCCGTGGCTCGACTTTTAGATACGAATACGATACGATTTCGTCTTCCATTCGCTCGTATTAATCGGCCCATTCGTCGAACAAAAAATTCGAATCCTTTTATCGGTTTCACGTTGAATTTCACGTTTCAAGTTCTCAGATCGATATCCCGTCGTTTTCCAACAAGTTCAACCTCTTCTTTCGATTTCGTATCCGGTGGTCTGTGGTCTACTCTTCTTCTTTTTCTTTTTATCGCGATAATTGGACGATTTTGACAAAGACGTATAACAACGTGCAAATAATTGTGGTCGTTGCTCGCGCAGGTGAAATTTTCTTCGATTTTACGCTTTCTTTTTACTCGCCTCTGAGTGATATTAGTAGATTCGCTTGATGTACTCCACTTTCCATTATTTCTTTTTATAGATCCAGAGATAAATTCCATACTTCAATTTTCACTCGTAAATTTCTCTTTCTAAGAGATTTGCTTTTGTTTCTCTCAGTTCAATTTTGCACAGTTTAGCCAGAATTTTTAATGCCATGTAATTTATATTCCTTTTTGTCGAATTATACAAAATTTTCGCGACGACTTTTCTCTTTTTTCAGGAAAAA